CCTTGGATATACTTTCTTTAAATTCACAAACATGAGGCTCTTAGGAAAAAGATCTTTCAAACTCCATATTGCATAATCACAATTTGTTTATCATATCGCAGTCCGTCTTTAATGAAATCGTGAAGTTTGATAATGATAAGAGAACGCGGTTATTGACCTATTGCTGTATAACTGTTTTAGTAGCACGGAATCAAATTAATTTCATAAGATCCTACAGGCAAGAGAAAACGGTATTAAATGGTTGAAATCTGATTATTCATATCAGTATCATATTGTATGTAAATCGTTTGTAGTTATTGACTAACTGTGCTAAATGAGTTAATACCTGATGGCAGATTAGTGTTAGTTTATTTCCGTATGGTTAAATCCTTTCACTAGGTGTGTTTTCATCTGAATATCCCCATAAGTAGAAGAATTAAAAATACGACATTTCACAACTTAGAGTATACCGCTTCTTTAGAGGCTACTTAAATGATTTATGTTATCAGAAGTTCAAACTGTACAAGGAGCAGCTCAGATAAAATATGACAAAGAAATAGATGTGATCATATCATTTAATTTCAAAAGTTAAGATCATGAGACAACTGAAGCTAGACCACTATGGAAAACCTGGAAGCACTGGACGACCGTTTCGTCCTATTGTGGGACTCCTTAGCAGTGCGCATCCACGACCCCGCCTCGAGGCATTCGAACTTATGTCATTTAAGCTAGCAATCATTTTAAAATGCATTTATGTGTATATATGTGTGTATAATTATGTGCGACTATTGTAATGTGATAGAGTAGTTTAATTAGCATTTGTGCACGGCGTTATATCTGGCAGGATAAATGTTACTCTGTATATACTATATGAGTTAAATAATAAGATTGAAGACAGTATTAAGCAGCATATAAGATGTTTCATATTCTCATTTTTTTATGGTTAAATAAATCTTTTTGAATTTTCTGGACATCTTTATTTCAAACGGTCTACGTGATGCTTATTTCATTCGACATTAGTTAAACAAACTGATTCAATAATATTATTTGGTCATGGAATTTATTTTGTACAATCATCATCACCTATTTAGACTCACCTGCTAACATGATTTTATATATGAATACAATCATTACTTGTGCGAGAACACTTTACCAACTTCTAGAGTTCCAAATTTCATTTAATTTTGAGATATTGAACCAAGTTTTTCTGATCTGTGAATGGTCAGGTTGTATTGAGTTATACGTTTTTTACAAAGTAATGTTGACAAGAAACCAGTTTTTTGTAGCTAGATATTTATTCCTACAATTATACCAACTGGATATCAAAATTAACTCATACAAAATATAGTAATTTTGCTCTCAGAATACTTGGTTGATTTATCCTCACGTAAAACGTAAAAGTAAATTAATTTAAATGTTAAGTCGGTCATTTAACTATCTTTTAATGTCTAATGAAGTTATATAACTCCTGGACCTGTTATTTTTTTGGTTGACATATAGTAATTCATTCACGGTGTCATTGTTTCCACTTATTTAGTATTCAGACTGTTATCTCAATTGAATCTTTTTTGTATTTAATGATAATATGCTATTTTTTGACGATCTGTTACATTTCCAAAGATAAACATTCTTATTCAGTGAACAGAATGGAAAACAATAAAATGTCTGGTTGTAGAGCGAAATGAAATAATTTATCAATGGTTCTATTATAGGGCTATTTAACAAAACATAAATATACTACTTAATGGTTTCTGGTCTTAAATTATTCATTATAAATTATGTCCTATTAAAACTGTAAAGATATAAAATAACGTCTCTATTGTTATATTGATATCACTATACATTATCATTTTATCGGTATTATTAATATGAATAATTTACTACAAAACTTGAATGGGTATTCACTCACACTGAGTAGAATTTTATTTTGAAAAGATCATTTCCTAAAGCACTTGACACCTCTATCACAGTTAGATACAGAGAAGAAAGTTGGATAAATAATCGATTCCGTGTTTAAGTGTTACTGAATTTGTTTGATCTCTGATAACATACAAAATTGATTTATTCTTATGGTCCTATTTTGGTGAATTTTGTATACTATACATTAGAGAGATATTGGTAACGATCTACATGGTGATTAAGGTAAGACATTTTAGAATCGTCCAATGTATCAGCCAACGCATTTTAACTTGTATTCTTGTTTATAAGGATTCGGTGTTGCACTTCTGAAGTTTGTTTCTAAAGATTCGAATTTCAGTGTAAACAGTATTCTCATTATCTGTGGGCGATAGGACAATAAAAATCATTGCTACCAAACCTTACTAAAACAGGTTTGTTTTTGCTGAAGTTCAGTTTATAATGTAACTACTAAATCAAATATGAAAATGATCTGAACAAGATAAAGTGAACTAGTGAAAACTAGCAATTACATATATGGATAAACAACGGTTTAAAAACTCGCGGATCGAAGCCGAGGAATCTGAATGCATGTCTCTAGCTTGATAGTTTCTGACTTGAAAATATGAAAAAATAACTGTAATTTCAAGATTATTTTATGTATTCGATCAGAGTTATAATTATTCTTTGTAGTGAGTTGCCTTTCAGCGAAGTGATTCTTGAGTATACCTAAGCGCTTTATCCAATTAACATTTGCTATAATTATTTACACAAATGTATGAACTAAGAATATTCATACTGTCAAAAATATTCACGGAAAATTAGACCCGAGCAGATGCATCTAGGTATATTTTCATGTTATAACTTTCGTTAAATTTAACCAGATTTCACAAGTAAGTCTTCAGGCATCTCTGTTGGTGTTAATATGAAACACAGGAAACTAGTTTTTCATCATATTGTTGTATTCAGTGCTGAATAGATCACATTATGATCGATTCTGCTCCACATAATTCTCAATGAAATGTAAGCTTCTTTGAATTAATCATCGATAACTAAAATAAGGAACAGCATTAGTGGATGAGAGCTTTCGAATTCGTATGAATACTAGGCTTTGAAGCATAATTCTATTAACAAATAAGAACTTCCACCTAAATTTGAAAGAAATGTTTCATGGTATTTGGGTGCTGAATTATTATACCTTCTTACTTCCACCAGGTATTTCGATGAAATTAGTCAATAAAGTGATAAATAATTATTAATAACTGAACTGTATTTATATTAGTTTATTCTAAGACGAAAATCCTTTCACACTGACATTTTGACAACACCCTAACTTAAATGTAAGAGTTTTTTCACATGGTATATAGGTAGTACGTAATTTATTTGATAAAAAAAGTACTCTTAACATTAGAAGACAGACAAGTTGTGTACAATGATTAGTGAAGGAATTAATTTCACTGCTATATTTTCTCCTAAACATGACAACATACAGTTAATTGTTTTTCTATTTTCAAACTGTTGTTCATCAGAAAAACAAATTTGTTCACCTGAATAATGTAGCAAGTTTCTATTCTTTATGTTACCAACATGAAATGGTAACATGAATGTAACGTTATTTACACAAAGAAATTAATAGACAATAACAAATAAAGCGTGACTATTGTGTTTTTAGTTTTCTTTTTAATCGTTGGTAATTAACTAAAACAACTCCTAAGCAGGAAATATTTTTTCTGTCTATCGTTTTAAGAATTTCATTAAATTTATCTGAATGAGTCAGCTTTCTCAAGTAAAGAAACAAATAGAGTTCAGCCTTAATATATTTGTGCATTTGTTTATTCAAAATGTCATTTGAGCATATAGTCATGAAACATTTCCCTTAAAGTGATCCATGATTAATCATCAGATTCTTTCCTTTAGCTATAGATTGCAAATTTATTTAGTTTACTTGAATGTTTTCCTGAAATTTAGCTTCTTTTTTTAGATTGGACAGATTTCAACTATATAAAGGATTATTAGAAATTTCTAGTAAAGTCACAAGACTGTTTGTATGGATGGTTATACTGGTGATTTCTTCAAAAAATGCTTTTTAAATCCTACTCATTGCATCTGTAGTTAGTTTGGTATGAAAAAATAAATCATTCAACTATACTAAAACTCAGAGCTAAGTCAGTATGTCATTTGAGAAATAACGCAAAAGAAATCTCATTCACTTCTTCATAATCAAAGGCTATTGCTCGTTTACCAGGTTGAAGCAAAGTATTTAACTCTCTGGGGATAATCCCAGTAAAATTGTTCATACCCTGTGCCTTAAGAAATCATTTTCCTTAAATATATGATAGAATTTCAATTATATCTATGGCTTTCATCTGTGTGGGTACTCAACCTACTTATTGAGAAAAAACAAACAGAAACAATTAACGAATGAACCTCACTGGCACATATTTAGAAAACTGAAATAATATGGATAACTAGAAAATACAATTGGACTGTAGCACCATCAAAACTGACTGTTCATTGAAATACTACAGGTTCACAGCATATTTATATATATAGCAATATATTTTGAGATAAATAGTTTCAAAATATCTTAAATTTAGATTACTAATTAAATTTTTTCAACATATCTGTGTTACTAGAAAATATTGTATAAATAGTCCATATCGTTATCTTTGAATCCTAGAATCTAACTGGAATTCCGCTGAAAATAAAAGATCATCCAGAAATATTTGACTAACGTTAAAGTTAGTGTTTATGGAAATCTAACTAATGAAAGGACATCATATTAGTATCGAACCACCTGAAATTCAATGCTGAGAAACGATATGATACACCTTTTAGAATTAAATAAACGACATATTATTCAGTTTCAAAAATGTGAAGTATTTCTCTAGTGAAGAAAACCATGACATTTTGTTTATTTTTTAATTCAAGGCAGTAACAATATGTTCCTACTACACACTTTATTTACAAGAAGTCATAGTTGAGATCACTCTTCATCTCTATCTCTTTCTACGCTATTTACAAGTAGCGTAGTGCACAAAAGAAACTAGAATCCGTAACGTATTTTTGAAATTCAACCTAAGAAATATAAAGGAAAGCCATCTAATAAAACAAAACAAAATTTTATAAATTCTCGTTTATTCACAATTGATGCGTTCATGATGATTTCTTTACTTCAAAACTGTTTTCTGTACAAATCATAAATATTATATAAGCAACCACTTACAAGAGGGCAATTAAAAGGGCATACATGGCAAAATATAACTCGGTGCTTAATTGAGCTGAAAAAATGTTTCGTGTATTAATACAAGGAGATTGCTGAATTTTTTCCGATCCGAATACTTGTATGATTATTTATGCTTTTATTCAACATCACAATTCGTTGTGAAAATTAAATGCAATTTCTTCAATTTGTCAGTGATTGAACACTGAGTCTCCATTTTATAGTATGGTATATCTGGATGTTAATTTTTTTTCGATTGAATTACTTTTGATGTATATTTTGGTATTTCCAATTTATTACCGGTTATGAACAACCCATAGGCAGTACTAATCAGTGTAGAAATTAATCGTTTACGGTAAACATTGGATATAAAGAAAGACTTGTCAGCAGCTTGCTGAAATTTAGCAAAAGTTACTCATATTACTTGTATTATATATTTGTTTGATGCAGGAAATTATGTTAACTGTGTACCAGGTAATACATTAGAACGCAGCCCATTACTATTTCTAAATGCACTAGGACTCCGGAGTTAATAAAATCATAATTAAAGATATGTATTTTGGAAATGTATCATCTCCTCAAGTTAATGTATCTATTTGTTGTATGTATGTATTTGTGATTATATATATATTTCTATTCCAATTTATATATTTTTTGAAATTAAGGATGACTGTTTTGTTTATTTATATCTCAGTCTAATAGATTTGCGCAATCTGCTCGATCCATGGCGGTGAATATAGTTTTTAATTCATTCACACTTGGTTCATTACGATTACAAGCTTCCCACATATTTAAAAGAACTGTTGTTGGACTTGGCTGTGATTTCAAATAAAATATATACCTAAAAAAATATTTTTTAAAACAAGAATCTGTAGTAAAGTTTGAAGTTCAATGTTAAAAATATTTATTGATCAAGAAATTTCACATGAACGTTGCATTATTGAGATGAGTTTTAATCAAAGTTCACCTTAAATACTAAGTGAATTGAAAGAGAATTACACAAAGAATTCCACTTCAACTATTCATTCACTAAGTCCTGGGTCTTAAGTGTTATTTAAAGGATCTGAAATTAACTCCCAGTGAGTTTTGTAAGTTTTGTACTTTGCTGAGAAGAGTAGAGGCATATTCTACAGAACTCAGTGTAGCTAATTATTTATACTCTGTCCTTTAATGTGGATGGTATAAAATTCATATCACTAAAAAATGTTTATTAAAAATTTGATTCAATGTATTTTTAAGCTTACTCCTGGTTTCTAAACATTACTTGGAGACAATAATCCACTACGTTTTCGAATTATGCCTCATAACTTAAGTCCGTATTTAATGGAAATTTTATGCTACAATTAAAATGAAGAACAACAATCTAAATAGGTTCAATTATAGCTTTTTTCACAGCGTTTCGGAAATAGCACCCCTTAGCAACATGCATGGTAAAAACCATGAAGCGTTTTCGAGTTATCCTACAGAGAATCTATTTATACATGTTTTTAATGTGTATGTGTTAAATAATTGGCTTACAGTATATTTATATTTCCCGAATCGTAAGCTTTCATTTACCTCGATAGCTGTAAATGATAGAAAGAATATGCATGGATCAGTGAGCGTATGCTTATCCTATAGCTATACGGCAACCATCAGAATTATTGTTGTGAAACACACTCGTCATTACTGAGCATAGGAAGAACCAGGATTCATAAGAATATAGGCATGCAAATAATTTATTTCATACAGGTTCACGTCAATAACTTTAAGACACTCTGGTTGCATTATGATTTCCCTTACTATCAGCTTTTCACAACCACTGATGTGTTTGGAGCCGAGTTCGAACCCTTGATCTGCTGATTGAAAGTTGACTACCTTAGACACTAAGCAGACATTGAGTCTCACGACTGATTATTTGTCAGTCATTTACTGCTGTCATGTTTTTTTTACTATCGTTGTTTATGAGTTCACCTAGTTTATCAGTGCCCGTCTATAAAATTAAAGTCCCATCTCAATATATTACGAGGATAATATGAACTTTATTTTGGTAAACAGAATCAGATATTACTGTGTTGGGACATAAACATAATGATATCGTTGTAGTGTGCTCTTTAGGGGGGTTGGAAGACCAAATTATAAACTAACCTCTCCATTCCCATATGTTTTGCTAGTTTTTGCCATTCACCTTCTTTAGTATCCAACAGTTTACACAGTCTTTGAGTAGTCACTACAGGAAGTCTAATTTCAGGAAAAAGGTAAGAGAAAAAAGAAATACATTGAAACTAAATAATAATTCGGATGTTTTAAGCAAAATAAACAGTAACACATATGCCTAAAAATGTATTTGGTCATAAACACTTATAAATGTGTTTATTGCTCAGAGAACATTCCATTTACAGTGGTCACGCAAATATCCATTGCTGGATACTTAAAAAGTAATTTCTGTACATATACTTAAACGTGTAGATACACTAGGGATAAATCATATGGTTACCTAGTACCCATAAGTATAAGAAATAGGAATGGATACTACTTAAAATACATTAAATATATGCTTCTTTTATCTCTCCTTCTCTCCTTTGCTTTCATCCTATCAATCTGTATGTCATTTGACTCCACATGATGTAATATAATATAACGGTGCGTATGTGGTTTTCTCTTTTTTAGTTTATTTTATTTATCAAATATTATCATCAGAAATACTTTAAAATATATATATAACCTCCTGCTGAGCAGACAAAACAAGTAATCTAAATGTCCATACTTTTGTAGTTATGTTCATGCTTTCATTTCATGGTGTAAACGTTGCTCTTTATAATAGTGTGTACAAATGTCTCAGACAATGAATCTTGATGGAACAGTTTAAAAGTGTTTTTATTGATTTTAACTAATTTAAATTACTGTATAATCAGTTCTTAATAGCGCACAGTTCTGTTGTGCTCGTGAATTAAATTAGACTAACGGTAAGCGGTTTGTTATTTAATTACTCCATTTACCAAGTGATCTACTTTGAGAAAAATATAAAGTGGGCTGATGGCATATGCATATTGTATAATATATCGAAAGCTTTATAAAGTTCCATCAAAGGTTATCTCATATTGTCTAAAGAAGAGTGAATAAACAAAAGTAAATCAGACGTTACCGATTATGATTGATTAGTCGTGATTTGAATATAACATCGTTTTAAAAGAATTCCTCAGTCTCACCCAATAAATTCAAAAAATTTAACTCATGACTTTAAGAAAGAGACTGACACCTCATATTTGCGTAGCTTTTCAAAATATCAAACTGAATCTTTCTGTCCAAGACCCATATTATCGATAGATTAGCTACTCCTTCATATACTGATTTGTCAATCGGCAGGACAATTAGAAAGTATTAACAGAATATTAAGAGATGAATTTTAGTACATTTGAAAGCTGAATTACTTTTATATCTCATTAGCATTTACGATAATATGACTAAAGATAAAGTTGCAACTTCTAACGTTCCACTCTATGTTCCACTGAATGTTGAAGTATAAGTTAACTACCAAATGTACTGGTAGACTTACAGTTGAGCCGTAGGGTTTTCAGGTAGTAAACATGTCAGTGGTAGTTTGATTATTTATGATTACTGCTTTCAAATATATCTGCCATGTACATTTATGTTTACAATGGAGTTTATCAACTATTTCAAATTTATAGACGTTAATATGAGGCACGTAGAGGATATTCTAATCAAAAATACTATCTATTACTACCGGTAACTAAGTTTCAAGCGCAGTTATATCATAGTGCTACTCAACAAAGTAAAGAAGTCATGTTTATACTGGTAGATAAACACAATCTACTTGATGAAGATTAGGCTTCGTCAGTAATTGTGAAACTCATTGTAATATTTTATTTCAATATTGTTGGAGAAAATGTACAACACGCTGCTGAGACATAGTTGGCTTCTTAATATGAATGAGTTATTTTCCAAAAAAGCAATAGACAGAAGAATAAAAACTGCATTGAAACAAAACTTACACACAACTAGATGTGTCTCAATTTACAATGCTATATGCTCACTAATCCGACGTACTTTAGATACTTTCTCTGCTTATGTCCACTGGAACCATGTTTACCAATTCGCATGAACTTTTGAAAACAAGTATACAGGAAAGATTGGTGGAATAACATTTATTTGGTTTTAGGTGCATGTTACGAGAAACCAAGAGTCTAATGGAGACTGGAGATCGTTTAGGTAAAGTTCAATATTTCATTAAGATAAACAAACAAAGATCATTGATCTTAAACCCCTTTATGGTGGCTCACATACTCAAACGCTTTAAACCTGATATTTACAAACGGAAAGATAGCATGGTTAGCATTTCACTACTCTGTCAGTCTAATATCTTTATATCCATAATTACCAAATTTTATAATTGACTTATTTCCACTGTATAGGGTAGTGTGATTTCTTTGTTGACTACTAACACATTTACCATACTGTTTTCTGATTTCTTTCACAGGACTACACAATTCATTTAAACGGATAATGAGACAACATGAACACATTCATGGGATATTAACCTAATAACCACTGATCATAAACGGTTGTTATTTAGATATATTATAGTCGAAGACAGTGTTGTTTATCTGCTTTTTTCTGTATTGTTCGACTTTATCAACGAAATAGTATTTGAAAGTAAATAAAAACATTTTTTTAAAAACACCTTTTGATTCAAACAAAGTCAGTAGCGCTTTGTCCGAGCAGTTGCAGTTAAAATAGTTGATTTTCCTGTTTATTGGATTTGAGTGAAAAGTTATGTTTTTAATGATTTCACGGTAAATTTCGATTAGGTTTAAAATTTGCTCGGTTACGGAATTTCCATTTATTCGCTTTTATTGTCGTAATAGGTGCCAAATACAGATGGTAAATAGACCCGATGCTTAAAATAGTTATATTTTTACTGCAGAGAATTGTAAATCTCATCAAGCTATTCCATAAACAATCATCATCCAAACATTACCCTTTCTGTCTCTCCAAATGAATTACATAAATCAGTCAAAATCTCAACCTTGGAGCATCTAGTCAATTCCGACGACTCTGCCTCACAAGAAACCTCCCTCAAAATCAGTCAACATTTTAATTTAGGTGTAATAAATGTGATATATAACAATAATATCCAAACGTTGATTCCATACATCGTATGTTGTTTCTTATGTTAAGATGAATTCTCATGCGTATTCATCCTCTTTGACATACTATATTACCAAAAATTGAATTTTGAATATCAAGTCAAATATGATATTTTGTTAAGTGAGTAACTAAAAAGATACATAAACAAATAAGCCTCACGTGGACACAGCCACAGATATTTCTGGCATTCTTCAAGTGTAAATTAGAAATGAAACTGAAGTAATAAATAGAGCGGTATGGACATTTTCGGACATCTCAGTTTTTGTTTATTATTACATAGTAGATTAATTTATTCAGTCTTTAAATTTACAGTTTAGTTGTTTGTTTGTTTTACACTCATTCACACTAAATATTTAGTGTATACTAAGAGAATTTCAGAGATATTAGTAAACAAGTAATATAATTTCGTAACCAATTTATTTAAATGTAATTTAATTACTAAAACTATTGCTGCCATACTAATCAATATAAAAAAACTGGAAATAATTCATTCGTTATTATGAACTAATCCCTAGAGTAATCATCATTTGTAGGTTTGATAAAACTCAATCAACTAACTGGACTACCATACACTTTATGTTCAGTCTATTACATCACTATTTGTTTCTAATGACTTTCAGGTAAATCAAATTGCTCAGCTGAAAATAGTTTCTAAAGTTTCAAAGTGTAACACTTTGATTCAGTCACTTCTTTCATTCTAAACAAAATTGTATTTGATATAAAAGTCGGTATTTCAACACAATATTAAACTTTTACAATATTCAGTAGTCAATTGATATGTTTGTTTTAAACTAGGTATGTTTTTTGTATTGTGCACTTATACGTTTTGGGGAGAATGACCGTTAAACTTTTGGAGTGCCTAAAAAAACAAGTGTTCTGATATTTTCATTTAAAAAAAGGGTAAATTCTGTTGTTCATGCTAATCAATTCCTTTGTATATTATTCTTCCCCTATTACGAATTTCAAGTACAATTTATTTAGTTGTGCTCATCGAGTTCTATCTAACTCAAATTGGTCATCTCTGTGAGTTTCTAGTTAGAGTATTTCCGATTATAATTCCACTGTCAAGCTAAACGAATACTATTCGGATAATCGGATGAAGATATGTAAGAAAATGTGTAAAAATAGCTTTTATCTAGTTTCTTATAAAGGAAATATTCTCAAACTTTGAAATCAACTAGAATAAATATGAATTTACATAAAATAATACTCAAAATAAAATGCGAAACTATGTTATGACGTAAATTTTGATGAACAAGATATTTTCAAAATTGATAACAATGAGTTTAAATAAAGCAAGCTGCTTTCATTTAACTTACCGATACGAACTAGGGAAACAGCGGATATCTGAACTACGGTCTTCGGAACTGAAGAATCTTGTTCTTGAATGTTCGGTTTTCAGCTGGGAAAAATTTGAATGATTTAAAGTTATTCTTTGTTCAAGAAAGTTAGTAGTAAAATCTGTAAGGATTTATTCAGGTCAAATGTTCGGTAGTGTACAGTCAACAGACAATTTGTATGTTCTTCTCAAATATTATAATATTTATTCTGGGTATGTTTTCTGTCTTAACTTGGCATCATAATGCTTCCAACGTAAAAACATTTACGTAGATTTAGTTAAAACATCTGAACGATGCATCACTCATTCCCGGTTGAAAAATCCCCAAAACGTGTATGTCTTTAAACTTGTCGCACAAAAAATCATATTGGGTATAAGTCTGCTTTGGAATGAAACAAAATCTAATTAAATAAATGCAACAACCACAGTTCATTAATACGCAAATAGAATTGGATCTGGCAAAATTAATATTTAGTAATGTCCATATGATGAGGCCCTTAGGGGAAGAAATACTTATTCGATAATGTTTAGTGTTTAGCAGTAACTTTATGTGAGGGTCTTTATATTCCCAAGGTGGTTATCTTGACAGATAAAACGACAAATACAAAAAATATTTCGAATTATTTATTTTACCAACCAAATAAGAGTGTAGAACATTTCAAACAACCAATTAGCTCACAGAACTCTTCAACGAAAAAGAGAGTATTCTCTTAACATTAAGACCACAATTCTTCATTTTGTCATTATATTCATTATTATGTATAAAGGTAACAATGCTATTTGATTTTTCCGTCTGAAATGAAGATATCTTTTATTGATTTACTTTACATTTAAAGTAAACTGACTTTTTGCAGCTGAATTTTACCATATAAAGTCCTATAGTACCACAAATTCCCGTAGTTTGTAAACAGTATCATATGCATACTTATATTGAACAAATTTAAAATACAAATTTTTCTGAAAATCAGAAAAATTATCACATTTACCTCAAATCTTTGGTTTGAAATTTTTAAAATTTGCTCTTGTAATTGGGAATTCTCTTGATAAACTTTAATTTTGCACGACACATTAAGCTGTCGTGAATCCAAATGTTCAAGTGAAAATGCACAATGCAGCGTAGACATTTGTGTACCATTCCAGATATGCCGGAATGGTATTTCCTGTATGCAGAAAGTTTAGGAAACAATAATTAAATGCTTATTAGTTGAAATAATTTAAATGGGTGATTGTTTAGAAAACTAACCAAATAGAGATGTCAATAATTAAATGATATAGTAGTGTTTTAAGATGATAGATTTTTGTGAATTTTCTTAACCTGTAGATAGTTTTATTCGGAAACTGACATCATCTAGAGTATCAACGCAGACCATGCAGCATCAGATATCTACTGAACTCCACAACAGAATTCCTCAGCAGCTATACATTGACTGAGCTTGAAAACTGAACCATTGAATTCCAAATGATTCACATAAATCTATGATAAAAATGACCTATACATATCAAAATATATCCCATTGTTACCATGCCTAGGTAACTCATTAACGTAACTATACATCATAAACTATGAGTCTAGCCCTTAAAGCTATTCAAGATCTTTTTTCTCTTTTTGTTTGATGTGTCTTAGTTGTTTCCGTAGACAGCAAGTTCAACAATATAACTAAAAGTTTAATTTCAAGTTTTACTTGGTGTAGACTATAGAATGATTAATCTGATAGGAATATGTCTGAAAAATATTCTGCATTGTTTCTTTTGTACTATTCAAACTTGTGTTAATTTAATCTGGCCATTTATTTACTCTGAAGATGTGGCTTACATTAAGTCACGAAACGTCAGAAATATAATTTTTCTACTCATTGGGATATAACAAAAATATATTTACTATAAGCAATGTTGGCTAATGGTGTACATATTGTCTTAAATGTGATTAATCCTATCAAAAAGCCTAAAGTTACTCGTTATCTATTTATCATTATATAAATCCGAATTATACCTGTTTCTGAATCACTATTTACAGGTCAAATAATGCCAGTACCTATTCAATGAATGCTTCAATAGTCAATCAGGAGCTTCATATTATCAATGTAGTATTCATTTTATATATATATATATATATATATATATATATATATATATATATATATATATATATATATAATGGCATGAATATGCAGATCTATACCTTGATAGGATGACAGTGTAGTGGTAGTGAGAAAAGTACTATTAAAAAGCAATTAGCAACATCACAGGTGTAAAGAAAATGTGTACAAATTAAATATTGATACTAATATGACCAATCCAAGAAATCAATATGGCAAACACAACGGATATGTACGGATAGTGTACACAGAGGTACAAAATAACTAAAAGTCGAAATTCAAAGCACACTAAAGGCTGAAGCCCACCAAAATGTAGACACATGCTACAAACAAGTCTCCCATTTTCATTTAGTTTCATTTAACGAAAAGAGATTTTCAAAAAAAGTCATCAGAAATATGGTTATGTGTACAAACCTGTGATTTAGTTTGTAATCGGCTTCTCCATCCAGGAGAAATATCTTCAATGTAAAAACACAACCCTCCACCATTGTCTTTGAATAATAATGACTTTGGATCATCTAACAGTCTTCCTTCTAATCGTTTCTCGACGTATAAAACATGTTCCAATGCATCTTTAGTATCTGTTAGCACATAAACTCTTATATTATAGTCAATTGTTGGTGTTAGTGGTCCGGAAAATGCAGCTAATTTCAAAATTTTTGTTGCAGGCTGAATGTCAGATAATAATCCACTATCCTGTGTACTATCTGTCATAGTGTTATTGTTATTAGTAAAGTTTGTGATATTTATATTTTGCAAGCCATTCGTATTTATGCCATTGGGAAAATTTTGGAATTCTGTATGATTTAAATTTTTATGGTTTGATATTAAACGATTACCGCCCAGAAGTTTCTGTGTTTCACCAACTAGACAATAACGCCGTGCAACATCAGTCATCATATGTGCCATATTTGAATCAAGGTGACAAATGAATTTAGTAACATTTGATTCATAACCAATTATTCCCACTTCCTATAAGAAGAGAGAATTAAAAAGCACAAATTTATTACCTATTTATCTCGAAAAAATCGTACACATAATTAGCTACTGGATAACTTGTTCAGCACTATCCTTAGATAAGGGACAAAATATGAATGCTACACAGCGTCGCAGGACTTACCAATATGTTTCTAACAGTATTAAACCCAACCGCTTAGCTGAATTATTGAGTATTTTTGTTATATATATATATCAAAATAAGCATGTATATTTATAAACTTATTCTGAAATCCATACCGTATTTTCGTTACTTGTCATCAATATATACTGAATCTAGTTCTATGACAGAATAAGAGGTAGTGAAATATATAATAACTGAGAAATAATGTGAAGGGAGGCGTAATTGGCCATTCGAATAATATATTTCCTGTAGAAATGGTAGAGAAAAAACGGTGGGTTATTATATGTTGTGAGCGCTCAATGAGTTCCAAGTTGCTTATGTTTCGGGGAATTTAAAACTATGACTAACATTCAAATTTGTTATTATATTTCGTTGTTTAGTCACCGACAATTCTACTGTCAAGAACAGATCAAATTTCTCTATATTTCTGAATACATTTATATGTATATACATACTATACTACTTAAATGAATTAATGATTAAAATGTCAGTTGCTTATTCTTGTCAAAGTAGTTTTGTTATCATTTATATGATGTAGATAGACAGTTGAAAAGAAATATGTGGAGGTAGAAAGCTAAAAAAGAACACGGTATATTCAAGTTTTCTTCTTGCAAGGGTGGTGAAATAATCTCATTATAGAGTGAATATAAAAAAGAAAGAGAATGGAGTTGAAAGTTGGAAGTACATATTAATTTTACTACTATTTTTCTTCTCATTACAAAAACAGCAATAACGATGACTATTGTATTATCAAGTCAAAAGAATGTACAAGTTATTTGTAGGGTAACGTTTTCTTTTAAAAAAAGAGAAGATATTTTTATCTCTTTGTTTTTAAATGTTATATATACATACATATCTAGTTTCGTTTTATTATTCGTAATAATTACAAGAAAAAGAAATATTATTATTTGCTTTGATAAGTAAAATTTACATTTTGTATTCCTTGCACTGGTAAAAATACTTAAAACATTCTGGAACACTTTCAATTTATCATATGTAAAAGTTATTAATTTGGATTTTTATACAGAAGTCGAATAGAATATTGTCAGGTTATGTAAATTCAACATGAGCTGTTTAATAAAAATGATTTGACTTGTACTCTACCAACTCCGCCTGTAGCTCTTATAGGGTTACTGCCGATCCCAAGCCCGGGTAAAGGAGGAGGGTTGGGCATGGGGTTAGCGTTCCAATCCCGTAGAAAACTAACTCGCTAAAAAAACGCTTACTAGAAAAAATAATCCAAACCATTTAAACTCTGTCCTGAAAGTTAGAAGGTCTTCATTTAGAAGAATTATGACGCTTCATGGTGAAAGCCGAGCTCCTTCGGAAGCCACGAGGCCGATGCCCCTTCTAACAACCAGAGCAAAAATTTTTATAGGTACATGGAACGTTCGAACAATGTGGGAAACCGGGAAGACCAGTCATATAGCAATGGAAATGAGGAGATACAACTTAGCGGTACTGTGAATCAGCGAAACCCACTGGACCCAAGCTGGACAGAAAAGGCTAGCTACGGGAGAGATGCTGCTATACTCCGGTCACGAAGAGGACAATGCTCCACACACTCAGGGAGTCGCTCTTATGCTGTCCAAAGTAGCACGAAATGCACTTGTAGGATGGGAATGTCACGGATCCAGAATCATCAAAGCATCATTCAAAACAAAGAAGGAGGGGATCTTAATGAATATTATCCAATGTTATGCACCCACCAATGATAGCAACGACGACATTAAAGATCAATTCTACGAGCGGCTGCAGTCAATCATAGAGAAGTGCCCAAGAAAGGACCTCACCATTCTGATGGGAGATCTAAACGTCAAAGTCGGAATAGACAACACCGGATATGAAGATATCATGCGACGACATGGACTGGGTGAGAGAAACGAAAATGGAGAAAGATTTGCAAATCTATGTGTATTCAACAAATTAGTCATAGGAGGCACAATATTTCCACACAAGCGTATACACAAAGCTACATGGATCTCACCGGACCACACTACAGAGAACTGGATAGATCATATCTGCATCAATAAAAAATTCCGAAGGACAATGGAAGATGTGAGAACCAGGAGAGGTGCTGACGTAGCTTCAGATCACCACCTAGTTGTAGCCAATTTAAAACTGAAGCTAAAAAAGAACTAGACAAGTGGACAAACAGCAATACAAAGGTTCAATACAGCCTTCCTTCGAGATACTGACAAACTCAACGAATTCAAGATAGCTCTCAACAACAGGTTCCAAGCCTTACAAGATCTACTGAAAGAAGAAGAAACTACTATGGAGGACAACTGGAAAGGCATCAAAGAAGCATTAACTTCAACGTGTCAAGAGGTTCTGGGTCTAAAGAAATACGATCATAAGGAATGGATCTCTACAGAAACACTGGACAAGATCAAAGATAGGAAGAACAAGAAGGCAGCAATAAACAACAGCCGAACATAAGCAGAAAAAGTCCAAGCACAAGCTGAATACATAGAAGCAAACAAACAAGTGAAGAGGAGCATTAGAGCCGACAAGAAGAAATACGTGGAAGAACTAGCAACGACGGCAGAAAAAGCTGCTAGAGAAGGAAATATGAAACAGCTTCACGATACAACGAAGAAACTAGCAGGGAAATACAGTAAACCAGAGAGGCCGGTCAAAGACAAAGAAGGCAAGCCAATCACCGAAATTCAACAACAACGTAACAGATGGGTAGAATACTTCGAAGAACTCCTGAATAGGCCGGCTCCAATGAATCCACCGGACATCGAAGCAGCACACGCAGATCTTCCTATAGATGTCAATCCACCAACGACGGAAGAAATCAGGATAGCCATCAGACAAATCAAGAACGGGAAAGCAGCAGTACCCGACAACATACCAGCTGAAGCACTGAAATCAGACGTCGAAGCAACCACAAGCATGCTTTATCTTCTATTCAAAAAGATTTGGGAGGAGGAACAAGTGCCGATGGACTGGAAAGAAGGACATCTCGTCAAGATTCCAAAGAAAGGAGATCTGAGCAAATGTGAAAACTACAGGGGCATTACACTACTGTCAATACCAGGGAAAGTCTTCAACAGAGTGTTGCTGAACCGGATGAAGGATGCAGTAGACGCCCAACTTCGAGATCAACAAGCTGGATTCCGTAAGGATCGGTCGTGCACAGACCAAATTTCAACACCACTGATCATCGTCGACCAATCAGTTGAGTGGAACTCCACTATACATCAACTTCATTGATTATGAAAAGGCATTCGACAGTGTAGATAGGAGGACATTATGGAAACTTCTTCGACACTACGGAGTTCCTGAGAAGATTGTCAATATTATCCGGAACTCATACGACGGACTACAGTGCAAAGTAGTGCATGGAGGACAGCTGACAGATGCATTCCAAGTAAGGACCGGAGTCAGACAAGGCTGTTTACTCTCTCCCTTCCTCTTTCTTCTGGTGGTCGACTGGATTATGAAGACCTCAACATCTGAAGGAAAACACGGAATACAATGGACGGCTCAGAATCAATTAGACGATTTGGACTTCGCAGATGACCTAGCCCTCCTATCACGTACACACGAACAGATGCAGATGAAGACAGCCAGTGTAGCAGCAGTCTCTGCATCAGTAGGTCTCAGCATACACAAAGGGAAAACTAAGGTCCTCAAATTCAAAGCGGAGAACAGCAATCGAATCACACTTGATGGCGAAACTCTGGAAGATGTAGAATCCTTCACATACCTGGGAAGCATCATCGATGAACAAGGAGGATCGGATGCAGACGTGAAGGCGAGGATCGGCAAAGCAAGGGTCGCATTCCTACAACTGAAGAACATATGGAACTCAAAACAGCTGTCAACCAATATCAAAGTGAGAATCTTCAATACGAACGTCAAGGAAGTTCTACTGTATGGAGCTGAAACTTGGAGAACTACAACGACCACAATCAAGAAAGTACAAGTATTTATAAATAGCTGTCTACGCAAGATACTCAACATCCATTGGTCGGATACCATCAGCAATAGCCTTCTGTGGGAGAGAACAAACCAACTTCCAGCTGAAGAAGAAATTAGGAAAAGACGATGGAAATGGATAGGACATACATTACGCAAATCGTCGAACTGCATCACGAGGCAAGCCCTAACTTGGAATCCCGAAGGGAAGCGAAAAAGAGGAAGGACAAAGAACACATTGCGTCGGATAATAGAAGCAGATATGAAAACGATGAATTACAACTGGACGGAGCTAGAAAGGATTGCCCAGGACAGGGTTGGATGGAGAATGCTGATGAGTGGCCTATGCTCCATCACGAGGAGTAACAGGAGTAAGTAAGTAAGTAAAGTAAGTTGTACTCTACCAATCTGAATAAAAGATAATTGATGTTTATGCCAACATATCTTGACTACACCAATCTAAACTCCTGTACGATTATAATTATGTGATTATCATCAGTATAGGATTGTGGAGATTATTAAGTTTTTGATTGAGATCATGAACCAGTTGGTGTTAGAGCACCATTAAAACTCTTGAGGCCCAGGATGGCCGTTTCGTCCTAATGTCGGGCTCCTAAGCAGTGCTCGTCCAGGATTCGTATCCATGATTCCGCAAGAAACTGAGCTTACGAGCTTCAATTTTTTAATGAGTCTTGTTTCAAGGTAAGATGGAAAAACCGTCCAATGATTCCGGTTTCCGATGATTCTGTAGCTAAATATTGTTCTTGATCCTACTGGCTTCTCAAATCTACGGAATTTTCAAAGAGGCACTTAACTTTAACTGATTTTGTCTGTTTGCTGATCTATTTTAGTCTTTGCATTTAAATGGATTCCGTTTCTCTGTCGAAGTAGGGGAAGTATGCTTTTACATCCATTAAGTCATGTTATTTCTATGAGTATATAGATAGTGTATAAAACTAACTTTGAATAAATTGATAACTCATGAGTTTGGAAAGTTGACTATTAAAATAACTGGAAAAAAGTGTGAAATATCGCTTACCTGCCATATAAAATTATCAAAATTTGTATGTAATGCACTGTAGTTGGATTTATATCCGTTTATATTTGATGTATTCAGATTGTTAGGTGAACGATTCAAATTCGGTCCTAATGCCAAGACTCGTATTAACCAATTACTTTGATTTAATTCAGCACAATGAGGAAACGATAAGAGTACAGGTTTTAACAGATTTAAGCCCACTGGTCCGAATTGAATAACGGGACTTAGTAACGTTTGATGATCTGTACAAAAAATTTTAAGAAACATAGGTTCAATTTTAACCACAAAAGTTGAATAGTTTAAGCCGAATTTTTGTTTCATATCCTTGACAAAAATTAGATTTCATAAATTTACTGGATTTTGTGATAAATTCATTCAAAACGTAAAATATAATTAAAGAGTAAACATTGATCGACCTCATCTTCTAATTGTTATGATGACTACATTAAGGAAAACTTATTTTCAGCAGTTCCAATCAAACATCAACTACCAGAAAATGCAAACCCTCACAAAAATGATGCTGTTATTTAATATCATAGTAAATAAACCAGGATGAATTCCCACAGTCATTATGAACATTCTGTAATTACAACTGAAAGACAGTGTGTTGACCTCAAAACGGTTGTTTAATAATTTGTTAATGAGATAAAATGTGTCATGCAGAAGATTGCATTTCATTTAAAATGCGACAGTAGTTATGATTACCGTAGAGGTGATAATCTTTATCACACTTTGTAAGTACTATGTAGACTGGTACTTAAATATCCTGGAAAATTTAAAATTCTATGACATAATATAGGGCAAAGTGTGTATAATCTCGAGTAATTTAATAAAGTGGTTCTAACAAAGGGATTCAGACAACTGAAGAGTTATAATAAATTTCCGATGTAAACTCCTTTACTTCGAATATTAATCTACTTTAACTTGGTAAACTCAAAACATATATTTTAGCTACTGCAATAGTGACTCAGTTTAAGCAGACCTAGTTTTAACATTTTAACCGAAAACTAGACAAAGTCCAACTTAATCACTAACAGATATTGAGAATAGAATTGATTTTTAAGCACTACGTTTTATTTCTGTGTTTATTTTTTCATTGCTACAGCTTTACTCACTATCTCCTATGGTATTATTACGGAAGTCGAACAAATTCTCCTTCCAGTTTCTCACCAAAATAATTTAAAACGTTCTTCAAGATTAAAGAAATAATCTTCTTCATTGAAAAATGAGTTAATGTAATACCAGTTACAGTTGAGTAACAGGGGTTGAACACTATATGGTTCACTGAAATAATTTAGCTTCCAACTCGTTTTATTATCTATTTAATTAAATGAAAAATAAATGAATGTTTGTTTATTTTACATCGTTTCTTTCAGTTTACTTTAATTACTACTAATACTAGCACTTGTTGAGGCTATCGAAATGAGGATTCGCCTAAGTTAATCAACTTTATCAGACATAAAAAAAGTAATGTCTACAATCTATGAAATTAAATTATGGACACATGTTTACATAACTAATTCACAAAAACATATTTATTTATATGTACATAAATACATGAATTCTCTATCTTACACCAATACAAACTCGTCTGTACACGTATTGAAATTACATATAAGTATACTGACCGCATATTGAATATGATACTGATTATAACAAACGTAACAACATGGGCTTTGTCACATTTTATTTATTTACCATCTGCTTTATATATTTATGGAGACTTGAAAGGCAAATAGATGTGTGCCTAGGAGGATTACTTTTAGTTTGAGATATCTATATAAAAGAAATAGGCTTTAGGTCATTTCACAGCATGTAGTTGAGTTTATTTTTTAATATTAAAATTCGCTTATTTCAATTAATTGTTCCATTGGGGCTTTATTACTGTTTTATAGGTGGGTTGAAATTTCAGTTGGGAAAGAATAAAAGAATAAAGGTTCAGTAGTCGTTATGAATATTAACTAATGAAAGTTATTATCCTCACTATTACTTCATTTGATTTATTTATTTTAATGAGATTGGGAGTTATTGATTAAATAAAAATGATGTAAAGTGAGGAATAAAACATTCCCTTGGAGATTATCTTCCTAATCGACTTGCAGTTCTAGTAACTATTAAAAAATGTAGCTTTTAATAAGAATACCTGCAAACTACATAATAACTGTTTTTAATAAATATGAAACAGGTTTCAAATTATTGGCCTAGAATATATGAATTATTTTCAAAGCTAATTCTTGGTAAGTAAAAACAACCAGTCGAAGAATGATCTAGACCCCATGAATATCAGTTCGATATCTTATAAAAGGAGCATTTGACTATATGATAAATCAGCTTTAAAACATTAAATTTATCTTAAAAGTATGTAAAGCTTTAGTATTGGGACCAGGACCTAGTTGTTTAAACTAAGTAGAACTATTTAAATCACAATAAAGAACAAGCATTAGTCAATTAACCATATTTTCATATTTAAATTTTTTTAAATACCATAATTATCCCTTAAAACGTATTAATACTACAATCCTAAATATCAGTTTTTGACTATTGATCGTATGACAATACAAGTACAAATATCACATAAGTTCATCAGGATACAATGACTGAAGAGACTGTTGACGTTGATAGTCAAAATGTTTCTTTAGATGTCTATTTTACTGCTAGCTGAAACTAGATGAATGTATTCGAATTCAATAGGCCTTCGGTGAAGAGAAAGCAGTCTGATAATTAAATCCATAGTATTTTAGTGGCCGGGTGATACCATTGTATCGAATATTTCAGATTTAAATCTTACTATTAGTTAGACCATAGTCGTTTCAGCACAACAAATAAGAATTTTGTAATCCTAGTAAGTGCTACTTTCGTTTATAAGCAATTAGTAAAGCGGATAATATTACGGTACTACAAAATAAAGATCAAAATTTTTAAGCACTTATCAAATACAACGGAATATAGAAGTAGGTCTACCTATTTTTAAGCACAGTAAGCATAGTTGGTTTTCTCCCACCTATTTATTACTTATTTTTATGATAGTTGAGTGATTTAGATGTCCTTTCTAATTATAACATAATCTAGATATGTTTTTCTTTTTTGGAAAAAGATTGATAGCTGAAATATTTTTATAACCAGTTTAATAGTTTATATGTTATAGATATAAAATAGCAGAACTTATGCATGCAAAAATACATGGATAGGTGTCAACTTAATTTGAATGATAATATAGTAATGTAATCTAAAGCAAATATATTACAAATCATATCAAATGATTTTTTACACGTATCTGCCAACTAGTCTGTGGTATTCAATTCTGTCTTCTGAAATACTATGTCAGTATTATCTTGTTAATTTTATCATAAGTTTGAATATAGTGGTGATACAAAACATTTTGGATCTCAGCCATGAAACCTTTAGCCTCAACAAACGGTGTAAATTGTTTAGTGGAGTTGCTGCTTGTTCTGAACTGTAGAAATGATACTTTAAATAGTAATTACCTGTACAAAACTTAACTATAAGTAAATTCTTTCTCGGATGTTAAAAAATAATCATTTTTATTCTCCTTGTTATTTAAATATGCTTCAATGACCACTCACAAAATGTGTTAATTACGACAGTTTTCTAAATAATATCAATGAATGACCATTTTATTTTTGTAAACAAACATTTCAACCAAAAACGATATTCATACACTTAATAGCAGCTACAATTTCTCGTTTGTGACAATTACCTATCAAGTTATGGTCAGCTAGTTCAGTGGCCTTATATTAAACTATAGTTGATATGAACGCATATAATTTGATGTAAATCGGATCCCCCATTGTTTATGACATCAATAGAAGAACTTAGACTTCAGTTTTTAGAATTTTAGATGAGATATTTATATATTTCATCTTAAATAACTCATATATTAATCTAAGCTTCATCACCATCGAATGTTATTTGTCATTCGTAATGTCCATCTATATTATAATCGTCTCAGTAAATACAATACCTGAATACTGCAATTCTACAATGAAAAGAATGTTTTCGCTATTTTTAATTCTGATTGTTACAGTTATCAAAAACTTCAGAAATGAGTTAACAGACTAAATGTTTCAAACAATCATTTTGATACAATACGTGGTTTGAATTTATTCATCCTATAATTACGTTTAGTAATCGTTTTAACGAAAGTTGTCAAATGAAAACAATTTTACTGATAAATGTATCAGATTCATCACATTCAAAGAATTTATAAGCTTCTTTGATTGTTATCAGTGTCAGTACTTTAACCACTTACCATGATCTACATAAGGAATATATATCAAACTCAAGTTTTCAGTTATTCAAACGGGGTAATCAAATATTCATATACCTTTAAAATGGTCACAAAATATTAAGGCTTCTAGTCTATTTGCCCTATAAAAACATCGTAACGAAATTTTTAAAGTCATAACAAAGCTTACTATTCGAAACATAAATTGGTTTTTTTTAAATACACTGTTATTAATTCTTCAAACATAGAAATGAAATTTCTTCTTCAAGTTTAGTCGTGAAAAATCAGAATCACTTAATCGTTCTTATTATTATGTCTGGAAAAATATGTGAGAATGCATCATTTTTCATTACATTTGAACACATTCATTTTAGAATATGTATACAACTCGTCTGTACGCGTTTTCCTTGATGGAATTAACCCGTTCAGCCCGTTACAGTTATTATTTATGCACTAAGTGAAACACTGGAAAATAATAAGCACATCTATAAGCACACAAACATATGTATCCATATGGATACATTCGTTTCACGTAGTACGTTATATATTGTGATACTGATGTACGTGTTACGAAAATTTTCGACCTATATCTATATCGATCTTAAATTTTTGTTAAGTTATAAATGAAGTAAATTAAGACAAAGTATTTTGTTTCATTACATTCAAGGTGAACAGCGCCACTCATTATACTGTTGAAGAACGTCAAATGGTTTTACTCACTCTTGTAAAGGCTGATGGTAAATAGTCAACCTATTTAAAAAACTAGATATTTATAGAGCTGCATACCTACCAGTATAAACTAATGAAACTGAACTGACGTGCAAATTGCTTGAGATGATCTCGGTTGATAAATTAAAATCGGACAGCAATTTTGAATCGTCCTAATACAATTGTTTTTCAACCCGACTTATCATCCCTGTGCTTGCAACCATTTGACTTATTAGGTTTACTCTAAATTTCTATGATTTTTAACTACCTAAATATTCTTTATAATCAGTTAATATGTTGACCAGAGAACCTAAGTTGGTAAACAAGGGATCAAAATGTAATTAGTCATGCATTTTTTCCTGACTAAAGGGTACACGTAAGTCAACTATTACAGTCCGATAAGTTACTTAATTGAGATAACATTGAATCAAACTTATCAAACATAGTATATCAACTGGTTTCTTATAGTTTGATTTATTTATGTTTTCTATAATCAATCATATTGTTTTGGAAGATATCCTTTTCTGGTATAAAACTAGTTAGTCGGAGAATAGGGTTTGTAATACAAGAACCAATTCTTTTCATTGAAAATAGATAAATTAATAATTTGTTGTCAATTAGCCATATTTTATGCATAATAACCTATTCATCATTTAGTTGACTATTGAATTATTCCGTAATCAAAACACTCACTAGATGACTATTTAACAAGGTATTAGATACTGACTACAAAATAGGTAAGAGTCAAAAGAACTTTGTAACTTCTTAAAAATCAAATATTTAGTTTTCAATAGATCAATGAGAAGTAGGAGTTGATCTGAAAAACGTAATTTATTCACGCCATACATTTCGAACAATCTGGTCACATATATACTTGTCAGGGCATTTTATATGAAGATTAGTAAAGGTCTAGCTACTGAAAATTGCAAAAAAAATAAAGCTTATCTGCTATAGCTGTACATTTAAATGATGTTCTTATTATTTCTGTGAGAATCCCCACATTTCAGATAAAGATGATCCGTTCCATTCAAATAAAAGGAGTACAATTTATCACAATAATTTTGGTATCGAATAAAGTTTTTAAAACAAATAAGTTTTGCAAAATACACTGATTATCCAAAAATATCTACGTGAAACATCGTATTATTTATTTTATTATTACTTAAAATGAGAAAGACTTTTAGCCTATAAAAGTCGAACAGAATTATATCCCAAGATCATCAACCATTATAACCCTAATTAAATTTGATATGGTGAAACTATATTAGCGATTGTATTTATGTAATTAATAGTTACCCGGAAAATACTTAGCCTTATAATCCGTATAATTCAAAAAGAAATTTTTCATAAAACTCATATTAGATAAACCAGCTGCTTTCTATAAATCATAGGTTGCATAGTCATAATGACAATAATTACGAACTGCATTTTGACTGAGTATTCTTCCACAATTTTTCAATTTATAATTTAGACTAAGTATGCTTTTAAAAGCAACCTACTATATAGACCCTTTCAATATAAGTTTTAGTTACTGTAATCTTTGTTTACATGTTTGTAATTGTACACTTGTTGAAATTAAATTTAGAAATTAGTTGTCTTGGGGAGTATATCAGATGATAATATCTGTAAAAGCCAACAGCAACATGGATTGACTATTCAGTAGTTACTAGTCTCACTCTACATTCCTAATTATTTATAAATTTCAATGAACTACCTACACAACACTTTATTGCGATAGAAAACACATTTTGCTCCTTCGTTGCATTACATTTGTGATGTATTAAATTATATTCATACGTATAAATCACAGACTTTCTCGTGACTAAAACAGATATCATCAGACGTCAAAAAATCATAACATGGAACTAAAATATAGATTGTTTTACAGTTTCCTCAGTCTTCATGTGTTATATTATATGGACTGCATAAGGCTGACACAAATTTCTATGAAATATTTTCTTGCTTCAAACTTGTTGCAAAATATACACTTGTCATGGATTGACCACAGTAAACAGTTATGTCTTCCTCTATTTTTCACCGCAATAACTTTCTTATTAAACGATGTACAAATTGGCAACAATATGCTACGTAGTAGTTAAGCTAACAGCCACTGCCTACAGTGATTAATAGCAGATGTTAGATGGTAGTTGCACATAAAATAAAGTTTATCCTGTCCCCTGAGTTGATTTTGTATAAACTGTCAGGATAAAACTATAGATACGTGTTTCTGAACAAAAAAATAACTGAATTCTTTGAATATTGAGCTAATCTCCAACCTGTGAGTAAAAACAATTGGATTTATTTGAATGAGTCTTAACATTAACAAATACATTAACTGTGTCGATTTGCGGATGAACTAAAATTACGAATGACTAAACAGAAGACCTGAATCTAGCATACAGCCCATAATGTCTAATTAAAAATGCAACTCATGCATAAAATATTACACTGCAAAGTTACTGAATCATAAACAGTTCGATTTTTAGTTTCAATAACATTATCCTCATGATTTTGGAAACCATTAGACCATAGTGACTAGACAAATTTCTTGAAATTTGTTTGCACCATCAGTCTCTTTAAATTTTTTAAGAGAGTAATATTGAGCAAACTGTTAAGCTAACGTAAATTTCATACTGCTTGAACAGAATATATTGTAAAAACTGAGTCTTGTCAAGTAATATCATAGCAGTTTGAGATTTATTTGTTGTCAGTAAATGACAAAATGTTTTGGTAGCTCGGCTTCAATTTTCATAGATGGAGAACTAAACGTTTTCGTTACAAGTACGAATCCTTCTTCTTGAAAACTAGTAGACAATAACCTTAGTTATTTCATGTTAGTCCTAAGGTTTTCACCATTTTGCCATATTCTAAACAAAACAACTGCTCACAATCAGTCAGTAGAGTTCTCAGTCTTTTCTTAACAGAAATCGGATGTTTATTATGCTTTGAGATACAGATTCACTCAACCTTGTAAAAACATATTTTTCCTAAACGGAGAAAGGTGAAGTTCCATTTCTTGCCCGGTTACTATGGCACTAATAATTATTACACCGAGGTCTAATGGAGAAGATTAACATTTACGTTGTTGTGACTAAACACTTAGTAATATTCAGGTTATTCCTTTAGGCTAAATTATAACTTCGACTAATATATTAGCACAGATATTAATCACTTTATCAACATATAATTAGTCAAGCACGAACTTTACTCAATGATAAGATAAAGTAGATTTTTCATTGAATATCTAAGTGAATAATATAATTATGAAATTTATATACATTGAGCTAATAGCCATTAGAAAAATGTATTACACGTCTGCTTTCTAAAACTCAGTGGGGATTCAAAATACCTACAGGCTAAATTATTTCAACATATACTTTGCAAATAATATCAGATATTTTAGTGTAACGAGTTTGAGGTAACTGGGAAAGCTAAGACTAATGAAAATATAAATAAAAAAATACATAAACTGAGATGTCTTTCTGATTACAATTAAACTGCACCATGAAGCACCAACTTTTTAATTTCCTTACCTTCTTTTCAACAAAAAGTAACATTTTAATATTAAAACTATATGTTTATTATAATCTCAGCCGGCTTTTAGGTCAATTTCATTGGTGTCCAATCTCGATTGTATTGGATTTAAATTTTATGCAGATCTATTAAACTTACTAAGTTGACTATTGGGTTGCTTTTATGTTCCTTGCTAGTTTTTTTTAATAATTTTACTCTTACACTTTAGTAATCAGTCGAATATAGAAATGAAAAATTTTCAAATGATTGTTGATGTTTGACCAGGATTATAATCGTCCAAAATATTTAGGTAAATGTGTCTGACATTGTGTGTGTCTGCTATTTTTTTTTACTCTCAAACAACAGGTGTTTACTTTAGCGCCGAAAAGTTATTCATGGTAATTTAAAGTAACTTTTGGTACTGAAGATATTGTCAAGAACTTTTTACTGGATTAAAGCATTGATAAATATTGACTTATGATCATGTAGATGTATAACAGCTACCTGCCGAAATCATCTGTTGTTTTCAATGTAGACAGTAAATTTCTACGCCTGAACCAAGGGTATTCTTAGACAAAAATAATTTGGATTTAATGAAACGAATTCAGAATAAAGGGATGAACTATAATAATCAATGAACAATGTTTGAACCACTGAAAGAATTAATGACACCCTATATTTCATATGAAGTCTTTACTTCGAAAAGATACACTGACTCGAATATTTTTTATTTAGGAAAATAATGAAAGTAAATATCTTACCACCTAATGTAGGACGATGTTTATCTTCTCTACATACTGCCAGATAAACTTCAACGAGTGAATTCGATTGTAGTGCACCTTGTGGTATGGTCAAGAAAACACCTGTTCCCAATCGATGTATATATATATATGAATAAAAACACGAACCAGAACAATAACACACCCGTTCATATTCAGTCGACAAGTTGTGCAGAGGTTTGATTCACGGAAAATGTAGAGAAAGAAAAACAGAGAAACTGATTAGATATATAAAACATTATGTAAGCTTAAGAATAAATATATTGTTATATTGGAGTGGCCAAATTTTACTAAAGTTTTTTCACTTTTTATTTAAGAAAAATTGTCTTTTTTACTACATTTAAATGGAACGAACAAAGCAAGAGAGGTAACTACCTGGGACTGAAATATATTGGTTAGATATTTCCGTTCAGAATTTCGAAATGCTTCATGAAATTGAATCACAAGTCATATACTTAACTGGAGTTAGTTTTCAGACACGTCTAACTCATCTAACCTATTATACTTCCGTTGTTAATAATCGAGAGATAACCAAAGATGTTCTATATCAACGGAATTTTAGTGTTTGATTACCTGACCTAGACTTCAGTTATAAGGAAAATTAAGATTTATTAAGAATCTCCAGTTTCCCTTTCACATAATCTAGAAAGTGAATTAGAAGTTTTACAAACGATTCATGTACATCACATATTTATTTTTTTAGCAAAGTTTTAGGAGAAAACTTCACTGATTTAAATTGGATTTTCATATGTATGTTGACCTTCATTCATGTATTAATAAATCAAAAACTTTAAAACTTTTGTCCAAGAAACGATGAAATATTAAGCAGTTAGTTGTTCCAGAAAAAGATTTTCCCACTAGATCTGGTTGTCTGTATATCTTAAATGTTATATAATTTAGTAATTCATTTGCATTTTGCGTGACTTAAAAATCAAAACGTTATTTACCAAGCATTGGATGCTGAAACAATGTGGTTATTTGAAACATATTATAACTTGATTTTATAAAACTGTAACAGTGTAAGGAAATAACACCAGTAAGCAAAATCTACAATATAATAGGACATACCTGATCGTGGCAAAGCTAGTTGGTCACCATCGCATGATATAGTTTTACGAATAGTCGTATCCAATTCTAGAGGATCATTAAATTCACATAAAATTGATCGATCAGATGAAACTGCGTCTAAAGATAATTCATGGTATAGCCCAGATTCTGGTTCACATTTCTCGTTGCACTCATCGATTTCCACGTTTAAAAAATTGATGTTATAGTTATTAGGACTTTTATTTGTTAGACATCTATTTAAAGGCAATCCTGCTGATCCATTACTGCTTCCTCCATTACAAGATCCAATTGCAGTAACAGTTGTACCTGTGTTTGCTGTAGAAGGACCAGAAGAACTCTCGATTGGACCACCTAAATTGCTAACAGCTAAAGGTGCTGAGAAGTGTGGTCCACAACCTATTCTGGATAGCCCAACTTCCGATTCAACATACGTAGGTCTGTAAAAAGGGGAATAACATTGAGAGACAGTTGTGATAATTGTGCACGATTTTTTAGCTGCAATGGTGTATCAAAATGCAACAAAAACGAATTGTGTTCTTTCCAAACATTCTTTATGAATTTTATAAATGTTATGGGTATAAGTTTCTGGATCCAACTAAAGAACTATGTGGTGCTACTTTTGTTAATTTTATTTTCACTTCCATTTTCTAAATAGTGTCTGTCAACTAGTAGGAAACCTGAATGCAGTTTAGCATTACAGTTACAAATTATGTAATTTCAACACACTTACTAAACATATTTTCAATTATTCGCAAAATCTTAAAACTCAATCTTTGCACTAATGTTATAATATAGCTGAATCGAGAAGGTTCGACTAAGTTACAGACACTTATCGATTCCACAAAGTTTGATTACAAAGTGATAACTTTTATAATTCAAAATTTTCCATCAAACTCTTTTTAATTACTTTCAAACGAAAAACAATTTGCCTCAGTAAAGTAAACTGAAAGTCACCAATAACTATGAAGTCTGTTTAATTTCTGTGTTCTACATCAATGCACATACTGTTAACTACTACAGAATAGTCAACAGATTTATCTCATTTAATCTTATTTCCTAAAGTAAATTTTGTTCAATATTAGTAACCCTTTTTGTGTGTTGAAAATTTTCTTTGCTCATTGCTCTCAATCTCTAAAATAAGTGTTTCTTCTGATAATTAAAGAAAAGACTGATGACAACAAAATCTAATAGAAAAATACACGCCCTAAATTAGAAAGAAAAAAAATCCTTTTTTATAACAAAATAAAAGAGAACAAGTTCAAAGGTCATATGAGTTAAAATAGTCATTACACTAGTTTCTGGGATGACATAAATCCAAGGAAAACAGATGAAATTAATGGATTCGCTATTTTCTTTTGAAATTTTAAAAGTTTTATTGAAATAAAATTCATTAAAATTTAAGAATTTTGAGATGATGTAGACAATTTATAACTCAGATGAGTAATTTTGATATAATTACATTCTCTGAGCTGAGTGACTGAATTGTAAGACTTTCATTTTCCCTATAGATGCTATCATCAGCACAAACTTTAGAGAGAAGTGAGATATCCGAATTTCCCCATATATGACTGACAGCTTGTTTTGTCAGGTCTGATTTTGAATGAACAATGTTGTTCTTGATGTTGTTATCTCTTATCATGTCAGTGTTTGTTTATTTATTTCGAATGTTATCCTTTTCAACCTTGTTTTACTTTGTAGTTGTCTATGATTTTATCTAAATAAGCAGTTGATAAGTTGGATCAACTTCAATGTATGTTGGTTGTTTATAGATTTATCTGCCAAGCTTCTAAAATTTTCTTTGTATTTACTTTAAAATAATGTCAACAGAATATCAGACATGTGATCGCTCTTTTCATCTTCGTTTGCATTAATACTAAATAGCAATCCGTCACTGTGATGTATGTCCCCGTACGCAAATATCCATAGGCATTATCGACTTATACTTGGCTGGAAACCTTGAATAAAGTGTATAAAAGGAAATCTTTTCTCTTTAAATTTCGTGCATCCATAAGGAAAATGAAAGCCTTACAATTAAACCACTCAGTTCACCAGAAGAAACTATTTATTTAGATTACGACAAGATGAAGAAATCAACTAACTTTTAGTTCATTTATAAATATAAATGAATACTTAACTTGGAAAAAGTTTCTAAATGGAAATACTTGGACGACTACAAATTTCAATAAAATATTGAAAAAATTTGAGACTAATTAAATGAGATGATTATTTAACTGGTTATGAGATATGAGCCATGTGGAAGTGTCCTGATTGAATTTGAGGCAGGAAAGCACATTTACATTCGATTCTGCATGTAACTCTTATTAGATTTTTGACAAAACACTAACCAAGGTCCGTTCATAGAGTCTTTAACTAAAAGCCCGAGAATGAAGCATATTTTGTTAAATCACGAAAAGTTTGAAATACCTTCAGTTCAAGTAAAACAAAATAATCGATGGGGAGATATTAGCTCAACTTGTGTTTAATGTAACATTAGTGTTACCTATTAACACCACAAAAATACAGTATATTTTCAAGATTTAGACCAACTTAGTAACTTTAGATTTTTGGATACTATTTCTGTACTAATACTGATATGAGACCAAATTGAGAGATATATTTTAATAACATCCAGATCACTAGTTTGTGCATCATATTTACGAAAATGATATAGCTTATAAGTAAATTAGTAGAAATCAGCAATTATTAAGATCTAAAATACCACCTTCATTTTCACTTACTTATGATCGCGTGTGACTGCCTACGGCTGAAAATTCGTATAATTATTTGGACTTGCTTTTTATAAACAATGTTAAAAGCGATTAAAAAATAAAAATATATGGAGAGAATCACACTATTCCTAGTAGAAAACAGACATCCAGTATTGGGAAACATGACTTCTCCATTACTCTCATTAATAAATAGAATCCAATGTTTCAAACTTGCGAGGCCAGATACTGCCAAGTTGATTATAAATTATGGATAAAACCATAAGTACATACTTTTATTTAATTAGAAAATAACCGGTATTTAAATAAGCTAAGATGTCACTTCATATTCGCTTCACTTATACATAATAAATTTGATAAGAATAATTAATTTTTTCTTACTCGTTTGACTGGAACTCATTTGAACCACGGTTTTTAGGCTGAGATATTATATAAATCATGTGGCTAGCAAGACCTTTCAACATATAACTCATGAACGCTATTACACAGATCAGTTATTATCATTCCTTAAATTTTATTGATCATGAGATTGGGCATATTCTTTTACATTGCAATAGACCTCATTAAAATAAATGACTTTATACTACATTAATTATAAATTGCGTGACACACAATAGAAATCCACTTTCCTGACAAAAATGATGCACCAAATGTTTATTTCTAGTTAAAACCTGTAAACTGACTCACTGTCATTTTATACCTGATCACAAATTTTTGCTGTTGTGGTATAACATTTTGATCATTAGGTTTAATGTTGTAAGGGACATTAAATCAATAGTCCTCTTCAACTTAAACTTGTGATCATAATTTCATCAGCTAAGTAAAAACAACAAGATCGATAATATAAAGTGAATTCATTCTGTTTCAAGGCTTCTCATCGTGTTTATTTATTATTAATATGTCCTCCCGGAATTAATACTCCAAGGTTTGGTGTATTTTAAAAACGAGTATGATATGAATGTTTCAAACGGAACTGAAAATTATTATCACCGAAATAGTACACAAGATATGTAATTCACTTTAGTTAAAATCGATGCATCTCATGAAGAGTGAAGCAAATGTGATTATATTTACTGATAATCACGATAATCATGATCTTAACCATTGAAAAAAATAAGACTGTATTATAATATTGAGAATAATAGGTGACCATATAATTAATCAACATGATTAGAACCAAAATCAAATTAACATGTGAGTATCTATACGATTATGCAAGAGGTAAAAAATTCTATGGTTACAACCATAATCACTGTGGTACCGGAAAACTATTATCATAATTCTGTACACATAGGCCTGGTCAAAAAATTTAGATTTCAGTTGCCTCTGTAAAGTGGAGTAAAATTGGCATTGGATGTTTGATTTAGAATGTTTTGCAGATGCTTACACTATGTCCACTATCCAGAAAAAACCTGAAAATTTTATTATGTAAATTATTTATGTCACCATTTATTATTTACAGTATTATCGTGAAATCTCTTATTTTTATTATGGCCACAGGTAAATATAACCTCGCTTCTATCCTGCATAGAAATATAACCCTGGAATAATGGAAATAAATACTTACTCAGTTCCTGAATTCACCACTTGGTTATTAAACTCGATATTTGTTTGTAAATATGGGTCAGAGGTCAAATATCCATTTATTTGACAAGATGCCAGATTCATAAAATGTTGTGTACTTGGCAAGGTACTCGGAAATCCAGTATAACCGGAAATATCTGATGCTCCGTGACTACTGTCGAAATTGATTGATGTAGTTGGAATCGGTGGTAAGGATAGAGGTAGTGGTGGTGGTGGAGTCGGAGGTGGAGGTGGTGGAGCAGGTGGTGGTGGTAAGTTTGCTAAAATTGACGTCGCTGTCCCCAAAGATGTTCCATTGGAAAAGACCAAACTCTGTCCAGCTGTACTTAGAGGAATATTGTTGATTGGAGTAGTGTTGAATTGGTGTTGAAATAGTACACCATTAATTGCACCGTTTATTACATTTACTCCGAACGTTTTACTATTTATATTGTTACTATTATAACTTGGTTTCATTCTGTTCATTTCCTGATTATGTGTATCGGCCACACTTGGATTCATTATTGTAATCATAGTTTGTGACATGTCACCGGGTAATAACAGGTCTGTAGATGATGGAAAAACTCAAATCGTGTTAGATATCACTTGGTTAAAAATGAATGCAAAAGTCTTGATTTTTCTTCATATATAAAAATTAGTAAATCTTAGTAAATTGATCAAAGTTGAATAGAAATAAAAACAAGTGGCTCCTAATGGTCTTTGGAACTATGAAATAACAACATTTTTACTCACACCAATAGTTTATTTGAAATACTAATGTGAATTCTGCCACAAATTACTCAATCATCATTAAAAAATCACTTATTTCAACTCAAAGTGTTGATTATAATCACTCAAAAATATCTAGTGTGACGAGATTAAAAACAGCGATAATCATCCTTACTTACTTACGCCTTTTACTCCCAATGAAGCATAGGACAACGACCAGCATTCTCCAACCCACTCTTTCCTGGGCCTTCCATTCCAGTTCTATCCAATCGTTGTTCATTCTTCTAATGTCTGTCTCCATTTCTCACCGTAATGTGTCCTTTGGTCTTCTGATTTTACTTTGACCCTCAGAATTTCATGTGGAGGCTTGCCTTGTGACGCAGTTAGGTGCTTTCCTCAATGTGTGTCCTATCCACTTCCAGCGCTTCTTCCTGATTTCTTCCTCCTCTGGGATCTGGTTTGTTCTCTCCCACAGTACGTTGTTGCTAATAGTGTCCGGCCAACTGATCTGAAGTATTTTGCGTAGACAACTGTTAATAAACACCTGTATCTTCTGGATGATGATTTTCGTTGTTCTCCAGGTTTCTGCCCCATACAGTAGAACTGTCTTGACATTTGTATTGAAAATCCTGACCTTGTGTTGGTTGACAGTTGTTTTGAGTTCCAGATGTCCTTCATTTGTAAATATACTGCTCTTGCTTTGCCTATCAGCGCCTTCACATCTGCACCAGATCTAACATGTTCATTAATGATGCTCCCCAAATATGTAAAGGTTCTTACATCTTCCAAATCTTCTCCGTCAAATGTGATTTGATTGGTGTGTGTTGTGTTGTATCGGAGAATCTTGCTTTTCCCTTTGTGTATGTTGAGACCTACTGCTGCTGAGGCTGCTGCTACACTGGTCCTCTTCTCCTGCATTTGTTGTTGCGTGTGCTATAGAAGAGCCAGATTATAATCATCCTATGTTTATAAAAATTTTTAACCGGAGTATTTTGTGCCAGTGTGACGGAACTTTGAGTGTGTTGTGAAATGCAAATGTGATTGCATCACTACAGTTGTTATAACATCTATTTTTTCACACATCCTATTGTTCATGTAATTAAATTTCAGGTAAATTATAAAATGATTTACTTGTATGGTGTTTTTGAAAGTTAGTAAACTTTCTTGAACATTGAGTGGGTCCAATGTGACTAGGAAATGTGGCCAACAAAACCACAATAACGTCTTTAAAATTGTCACAATCTAGCTGATGAGTAGCTGGGTGAACTCCTACCTCTCTTGAATCGTACAAGGCATTTCTGATTTTTTGTTGGTAAGCTTAATCTTCTACTTTCGTGATTAAACTCTAAACGATAAGCCTAAACAACAAAATGAGTCTAGGATTTTAAAAGGTTTGTGTCAACTTCCTGATCTCCAAATATTTTGTTCACAACCATAGGTCAAGTTACCAAACCACATTCATAGCTAAAATATTATGCTTTATAAGGTTCAGTAAACATTTTTGGCTAAATCGTGTTACTAGTTAGTTAATAAAAACGGGGATGTTTGATCACGTTTTCCCTATATAATAATATACAGTGAATTACCATTGATTTTAGAAAAAGCGGAATAAACTAAGTGACTACTATTTTCAAGCGAACCAGAGTTTCAGTAGTTTACAGATATATTTGTTTTGAATAGTGCTCCAATTCTAAACTAGAATTTCAATAGTATAAATCGAATCACCTTAAAACTTTAATTATCATTTAATTGGCTTATTTTTATTGAAAAAATTGTTTAATACTTTAAGACATATATATTACTACATATAGAAGCCAAGAATGACAGATCGAAATAATAATGATTCTTTCCTTTTCTCAAGGATTTATTTTACATTAACGAATTAAGCCACTGGATTATGTCAAAAAACCGTCTGTATTATATCCATTATTTCCAATTCGTTATATAAATAACTGTCATTAAAGAAGTCGGCGATGAATGTGATTAGCATGAAACTCGATTATTTTTAAGTCAAGTTATTATTTTAATAGAGAAATGTAGTAAAATCATTCTTAACAACACTGATAACTGTATCGCAAGTAGTTTTTTCCTCAATATGATTTACAAAAAATAACAATAGTATCTTTGGTAGCTTACCTTGGGCTTTTTTATTAACTATCTCTTGTCGACATGAACGTTTACCTGTTCAAAATACAATCAAATCGTAAGTATTTTTTAAAACTAAGAGTTGGCTTAATTTAGAAAATGAATTATTCTTTTAAAACAAGCATTAAATATACTACGAAATGAAAAAATGTAAAGAACAAAACGAAGATTTGACCAGAATCATATGAATCGGTTTTAGTGACTGAGACTGCAGCATTGCAATTTCTTTCATATTCATTATTTTATTTTCAGCTGATTGATCTCAACACATTCTATTCTCAATTGCGACTAACTTTTGTATATTCATCTTACTTACATAACCCGATCGACTTTTTATAGCTTTATGTATTTTTTTGTTATTATGTTTAGTGTTCTAGCATCTCTTTCCGTTTAAGGTATTTATATGAAACACCTATTTATATTACCTCAAATCTTATTATCTTACTTAATCATCAGTACACTATGATGTTAAATATTCACATCTAATCAATGTCACTGTAATAATTATATTAATTATAGAGTGTAGGCATCTACTGAGAACTTAACAAAATAAAATAATTTCATGCAATTTAGTTCAAATCTTTTTTCTTGGTCTCTTCAAGATGATAAATGGAACAAAATGTATTCTTTTCCGTATTCCATAGATTTTTTTGAAGGGGGGAAAGAAAATTGCATTTGCATCGCTGAAAATTAGAAAAGCATTAATTTACTTGAATATATTTCGTAAGAATTCTCATAACGTCCCATGTAATGTATGAATGAAGAAATGCAGGGAAATTAGATAATTTAATAAAAATACCTTAATATCTTAAATATTGTTCCATTCAACACATTAATTATTAGTCGAATCACATGTATTTCCTTACTGTCTATATGAAGCGTACGATAAGAAATTAATATAATAACTAATTAAGACTTTTTATATGACATTAAATGAAACATGTTCTATTAGAAACGCCTAGAAGCTGTTTTTGGGTTTTTTTTAAATTGTATCTTTATTAATTAGGATTATTAGAATTGTATATTGAGGAAAATGAATAGGTTCTCGTCTGGCTTTTTTTTAATGTGATGGCCGAAGTAATTTTCTATTGTAATATTGAACACTAATTGGTTACGTAATACATATATCATAAAGAAAAACGTAAACCAGCTTCGATTAATCAAATAACGAACTAAAATAGATGAAAAATCTGTTTTATAACATTCTCATATAACGTCTAATGAGGGAACTTTTCATTGTATCCTGTTTTAACATTCACAGATTAGATAGGCATGCAGCTTTACTGTTAATCTACTCTGGTGATGGTGAGTTTTCTTGAAACTAATTCAGTTTTATGAGTTTTTATTTCTTTTGTTTACAATTATATGAACTATTTTCCAGTTAACTTCAATATGCTGGAACCGAAAACAACCATTTAAGCCAATGTATGATGAACTTACTTATTTGCTTTTGAAATTAAAAAACACTATGTTATTAAACAAGAAGATGAAAAACCTAAGATGTTTAGTCAGTTTCACTGTACTCAGATGACACTAATCTAAATATTGAACTGCTGTTTCGCATATAACTAGAGAGTCAATACAGACCCATATCGAGAAATAAATAGGCTAGAATAAGCTGATTCTAGTCCAATCATCAATAAAATATCCCGGTGTACCATGACCTATATTTAAAATGTGTAAATCATTAGCAGATAGCACAAGCGTTTTGGTGTTTTCTACACTTACCTATCAACAGAATTTCTGTTTGTTGTTAGCTGTTTAAGATTATAGATCGTGACAATCCATATGGAAACGTTCAGTATCTGTACACTTATACATGAGCTCGGTTTCCCGTTACATGGCTTCAGTTTAATTTTTACTGCATCGCATTTCTTCCTTATTAATTACTTTTTGGATAGACAAATTACAATTGTTTTAAAATGTGTATGACATTAATTTACACTCACTATTGTTAAACTAAAATGTCCTCTGTTAAGTTGTTTATTAGTTATTCTCAGTTGAATTCAAAACTTACGTTTTCTTCCTTGCAAATATCAACAACTTAAAATATTGACTTTCTTACTAATATCACAATCAAACATCACTAACCTAATATTCATCGCCTGTTATTATGTATCTATTTCGCAATTTACAGAACACCATATGAACCATCCAGATTTCATGATTTTCAAAAAGCAGTATCTGATTACATAGAGAAAAAAGTAAATTACTCACTATGAAGACAAGCAGAATAACGAATCGCCCGAGCAGTAGAAAATTTCAAACTTTTTCGCCTAGTTATTAGAGCAATAACTGCTAATAGCACGGCTAAGGACAAAAATAAACCAACATAAATTGCGATTTCTCCAGTTTTAAACATTTGTGAACTTGATATTTTTAATGTAGTAGGTGATTTTATATCTGAAAGGTGAATTCCCTTGAGAACGACGTTATTCATGGAATCTAAAAAAGGTAAATTTACGTGATATGCGAAACTGAAAAATAGAATACTCATAAATAATTTTCGTCAAATAAACATATTGTGCAATCTATAGTTTATGTTATTTTTAGATTACTAAACAAAACCTCTAATAAATTTTTCGGCAATTTGTAAACTAACAAAAAGTATTCCACTGAATTCGTTCCAAGCGCTAGGGTAAAATTCTTTACACACACCCTGCTATTATCTCTTTTAATTTCTGCTAATTATAATGTATCAAGTTTAAAATGAAGATCAAGTTTAATTGGTTGTTAAGTGAATAGGTTCACTTAAACGAAACTAACTATTTTATGCCTAATAACATTTTATATTACGATAGATTAAAATATCCATCCACAAAATACGATTTAAGTGACTAAAATCAAAATAGACATTCATCCTCTTGAAGTACAAAAGTGTGTCTATCAAACATCTTGAAAAATTTTGTGGCTTGTAAATCACTTAAAAAGTACATAAACTGAACAAAAGTAAACTTGATCAAATGTTTACCGTTGTCCAATTTTTAGGTATTTCAAAGATACTTTAATATATAAATTCAGGTTAATTAATGAAGTGAAAAACAATAATTTAATGGTCCTTTGAATTCTGGTGCTTGAAAAATTGAATTTAACCAGCAACATTATTCAAATATGATGTAAGCTTTTATATCATACATATAATCGCTTCCGTTTTACAATGAATTACTCAAATTCAAAGTTTTATTCAATCAGTTACTTTGTTCGGCTGAAACTATTCAGGTTATGTGAAGACAAGCACGTTCACTTAACTTTATATCATACAGTTGGCTAATTAGAAATTAACATATTTCTGGTGTTTATTTGCCCTTAATTTATTCGACATTTTGCTTGACAATAAGAAAAACCTCTGACAAATGCACTGGAAATCATTAGCTTTATTTCCAGTAGTATCTCTTTTTTATTTCTGGTCGTTTTTACATATTTATTCTAAAGTATTAATTAGTTGCTTTACAAAATTGACAAATTTTTCCCAACCTGTTTGCTTCAGTCAATTTTACTCTGTATATCATATTACCTTATTATTCTACTTCACAATGGTTTTATCTGTAACATATTACTTGAAAAATAAATATCAGCTGGTTCGTATAATCTAAAAATTGACAAGTGTGTTGTATTTTCAACAGCATGTCATCACATATCCAGGTCCTGGTCGTGACTTCAAGTTAGGCAATGATTTTGAAAATATTACCTGAATGGGAACGATATTACTCAAACTATTGGTTTAGATAGACAGAATTTTACTTACTGATACACTGACTGGAAGAGCAATTTCTTGTCTGGAATAAAGGCAAAGGACACTGATCTGTTATTAGATTACTCATATCCATTGATTTAAATTCATTTTTTGGTGTTATTTGATTGGCACATATACGATGACGGGTTTGTTGACAAACTGTTCGAGCATTGCTTCCTTCTGCTATGACTTTATAGCATGTTCCCCACTCACCCCAGTTAGTCAAATCACCACCTACCGGTCGATTCATGGCAGAATTGTAGGCTAAATGTAGTAAGTGGAAAGTTTTTTTTGAGAATTTAAATTTTAGTCAAGTATTCTCAAACTTAATTCGCAGTTAGAAACTATAATAAAACACTAATTTCAGTATAACAAACGGATAACATAATGTGCAGAACAACAATGCAAACTCTAAAATAGTGTTCATCTTAGATAATCCAATGTAAATTAAAAAGAATTAGTTAGTCACTTGAAATGTTATATTAGGTGGTTGTTAGCTAATGTGATTGAGGTTGTTTTAAAAATGTGCGAACACATTTATTATTCATGAGTACAAATGTAGCAAATGTTTTCCCGTACGCTCATCGTTGAATGAGTTAATTTCACTGAAATATCACAGTTTTCTGGACGTTGAAATAAAAATTTACTGTAAAATCAGTTCCCAATCAGTCAATTTTCAATTGATAACTACATCTACACACTATTTGTTTCATAAGACGAGGCCATTTTCTATTTACAAACTGCTGACTCAAATCGCAATGTTAATAATGGTTAAAAAAAATCCAATATTTTAATGTAGAAAATACATAACCCCCTGTGTCTGATGATCCTAATAGCTACTTAATTTAGTTTTAGTTTTAAGATGAAAGGGGAAACTAACTGGCTGTTATTTACAGTATAAAACGTAGTATTAGTTATTAGCATTTGTAATCAGAGGTGAAGGTTTTACTTGTTTGAATTTATAAACCAACATGATAAATAAACAGGTAGACAACTCAATATCTGGGAATTCCTAATGATAATAGCCAGAGTTTGTAACCCCAATTAGGTCTGCAAAACCAGCAATTATTTATCTATGAAATCACTAAAAGTAATTCGATGAGCTATTAAAAGTAATTTTTACTGGTAATTTTAAATAAAATACGAGCACATGCAACTTGAAATTGAATCGATGTAACTACATAAGTCAACTTGGCACAGTAATATGTGTGGTGTAATTTTTTAAAGCTAAACAACTTTCTTTTCAATGAAATAGTTACATTTGTCCATGTCGAAAAAAACAAATTGTCTTTTTTAACGGAAAACATTGTCCTATCATAATCAACGTTACTTTATGTAAATAGGTCACTAGGAATTTGTAGAACTCTCATAAACCTGACTTACCATCCTGTTTAATTAAGCGCAAACACTTGAGTTTTTGAGTTATTGGTAAACTTTTTATATACATTTTATTTGCTCATTTAACTAAAAAGTGACATGATATGGGCATGATATTGTTACATATGTGGAAAAGCGTCAGTAATTTCTTTTGCTTGATTGGCAAAAAACAAAACTTCACTTCCTGATAGTTAGTCAAACGAATATTGAGTAATACAGACAATCCTAAATTTATTGCAACAAACTTTGAATGCGTTACCAGCTTACTGTTAATGAGGGCGTTAATTTAAACGAAGAACACTATCAATCGGACTTACGGAAAATATTGACTCGAGCAACTGCACGTCTTTTCTCACCATTTAGACAGGCTGCTACACATGTATAATTTCCACTATCTGCAGTTGTTGTATTTTCTATGATCAAGTGATTATAGTCATTAATTACAATATGTGGAAACGATTTAGTGTCAACACGCTTTCCATCTTTTAACCAATAAACCTAAAATTAAGATGATAAAAGAATAAAAGGTTACTTTGATCTTTGTTTTTTGAGGGGATCGAAACCAAGAAAGCATCCAAAAATAAATAAATTCAGAAAATGTTCAGTGTTCAAACTCTTGATTAGTTTAAATCTTTCCACTAATTCCTAAGTGGTATTCGTATTTCCATATTCATGCATCTAGTTTAAATTATATTTATCGCGGATGCGGGCTAAGGATGCATAATTTAGATTCCAACCGTTTTGAGTTTTAAAAACGTTCACAAATTCATCGAATAATTTACCACTGAAAGAAATCCCATACTCATATTCATCGACAATAACAGTTACCATTATTTTTTACTTTGAATCTTAAATCAATCTAGTAAGTTCCTCAAAATTATAATTTTATATTCAGTTTAAGTTTTATTGAGCAGTTTTAACGAATCAACGTGATTAGAGTGATTTTATTATTTGATTAATTTTCTATAAATTAGATGATCAAAAAGGTAACTTTTAGGGTGTTTACTAACTAAATAATCCTTAAATTAGTCCAATGTTATAGACTACGTAAACGCATAATTCGTCACACCATTTTGTTTTAGAACGATGTAAACAGTTTAACTAAAATCCTGAAACTTGGCTTTCTTTTATATCCACAGGTCAATCATCAGTGGTAATGTGAATGACATTTTGATTTTGATAGTCGAAACCTCAGTAGAGTTAGTGAGAAATACTGTTGTCTATGATAAAAGTTTGTATATATTTCCTTTCATAAACGGATATGTTAAATAAATTTATGTTTTAAGTAACACTCCTGAAGTTACGGTTTTGTTTTTCTGGAATGATTATTAGTAACAGACATCTACCTAAAATATTTAATAAGTATTCTGCCTAAACTTGATATTTTCCCATTAATTATCATTACATCCCAATGTAACGTATGCCTTTATACAAACAAAAAAAACAAATAATCTTTGCTTAGTTACGAAAGTGTACTCTCCAGTTTGTGAATAAAATCCGTTCCTGTAAAAATAAAATTATTAAAAGCCTTAAATAGTTTGTAGAAAACCACTAGACCATAAATGAATGAGTAATCTTTCGAGACATTGATGTTTCAACAGATAGGAGGTTAGAATATTTTAGAAATTTCACATTACATGCATTACAACTGCTATCACTAAACACAATGCGATACTATAATTATTTTGAAAACTAACAGTAATCAAGCCACATTACATAGTATACTTTGCTTAGTTTTGTGAGAGGCTTGGTAAACTGGACTTTTGGACTAAACAACCAACCTATGAAATAGGTAATTATAGAGAATAATGCACCCTGGTTTCGAGCAGTGAGTTATTGACCAAATCCAATAAATCCCGACTTTGATGTCATATACTCAAATCGTGTTTTAGAATAATTTAGATGAAGGCTTTTATGATTCCTAAGATGACCTAAATTGAAGTATTAAAAATTCATGGACACAGACTTAGAAATATTAAACATCTAAGTTAAAAAATATTACGGAATAACTTGATATTTAATATTTCTAATAATATAATAATATATTTTAGGGAGTCCTAGACTTAAGAATTTTTTTATGTTGTTCATAAGGACAAAACCATTTCTGTGATTCCTAAACGTTCAACAATAGTATTAAATATTTCGATTGCGATGGTTATACGCAAGTCGGCATTTAGATTTCAACCAGGTTAATAGTTTGATGTTTGAAGTATAATATTTCTAATGCACAACACGTTTTTAACCGAAATAGTGGATATTTTGACAGATAAATTGATCTTCCTTGGAAGAGCATCAACAATGATATAAGGAAATAAAAATCAAACTTTCATGGACACTCATCTGATCATAATCGTTAAAAAAATCACGTTAAACTAAGATCATAGAATAAACAAGGGCTCTTGCTAAAGTTCGCTCTGATGAGTATCTGGTATTTTTACATTAACTGGCAGTATCTCCAAAAGACTGATTATTTGTTTTATTCGATTCGAATCACGTTTATAAAACGCCTAGTAATTAAAATCTCTTAAATGACACTACTAGAAAATTCATGGGTGTTAACATTATTAGGGATTTTTAAAACTACATTATAAACTTTGTTTATATGACTATATTACACCCAGTATTAGATATTGTAATCGAAATATGATAGACAATGTCTGTAAACAATACAAATGCATGTAAACAATATGACTTATACCTATTTCTTGAAAAGGAAATTAAACATTGTATTAAAAAAAACTTCTAAAAATACTTTCACATACTAATTAAGCATATTCCTATCAATGGCTACTATTTCACCACTAGTTTTTATCAAGCCATATAAACCAACTATGTATATGCATAAAGATCCAGCGAATAAGTATTAGTTTTTGAAGCAGTGGTGTTTATTTATGTGGCTAGTGTATACAAGTGCGCTTGTAGTTAATAATAGCCCTAAAAGTACAACTTGTATCTAAGTATGTTTCTCACTTAGGAGAGCTAATTAGTAACTATGACATATATATAAGCGGAAGAACAAAACATTAGATTATAATAATAATAGCACAAGTAGATATTTATATTCTCTGTAAAGGTAAAAATAATCAAATGAGCAAAAATAGCAGTCATTTAATTTTTACATTATTTCCTCCTTGCCAGAAATACATTCACTTAAATAATTCTGTTATTCATAACTTTGTTTTAATAAAATGTCAATCAGAAGTTTCTAAAATGATATATAGTTTAAGAAGTGTCTCAATACTTCTCTAGCATAAAAAATTAACCTATTCACGTGTATGTTCTACTTTTAGCAATAAATAAATAATCCTTTAACATGTTGATACAGCTCTAGTAGACAGAGAATATAAGATAAGATTACTCGTCTACTTACTGACTTTAGCTACATCTTTGAATTTATTGAGTACAGTTTGATAGTGGGTTAGTTTTTTGAAAGCGATCGTTACAGAATTTTTCTTGTAACGTAATCGAAAAAAAAACTTGGTTTCATATGAAGAAATTTTATTTCGGATATGACGATTACACACTACATATAATACAAAAGAAAATAGATATCCCAATCGTATTCAAATAGTTATATTCTTTGCAAATAATAAAATATCCATGTTGGGGTGAAATGATAGAGTTTCGCACCTCCATAGTGTTGCTAGACTATCATGTATACCTGTGAAAATGTTGACAACGTAGTTTACTTAGACTGTCTGCCATGATTTAATAATATTTTCACTTGGCTGGTTGTCGGTAATATTCGCCTAAAGACTAAAAATCCTCTAATAGGATGTAGTAAACCTAATCAATATCGTTTAGGCTGAATACTGTCCACCAATAAAACAAGTGCTTAATCTTCCTAATTCTTTTTGGAAACGTTTTAAATAATACAACTTTGTGATAACAAAAAATAACTCAAACATTTGTCGGTAATGACCGACTGAATGACCAGAAAAGCTATATCCGTTTACTATTTACCTAAACTAGATTTCTTAAATGCAATCAACCATTAATATGCTAAACAAAACTATTCATTTAACTTCACGCCTTTTTGTCAAAGTTTTCAGCTGAAAAACAGCGATTTAAATAATACAGTGATACTGAGTATTGGTAAAAACATTCTTATTAATTAATCTCAATACAATAAACTGTATTTTAGACATTGAAAAAAAATTAGAGTTCATCAGTTAAATTTCATCTTACTGACAAAGCTTTGAAATAAACGTGAAACTTATTGGGATGCAGCTGAGATAGGTTTTATACTGATCCCATTTATTGGAAAATATAAGTTAAGAGTTCTGTGTTATATTTTTGAAAAAATAGTATTTCATCAATTGTTTTCTTGAATAAATGTGTTCCTTCTTCATTTTTACAAAACGTTTTATTAAACGTACTGAGTAAACATCTATTACCTAAATTGCATACATATATACTTGCTCATTGCTTTTATTGGATCTGGGTATGTTTAACTGAGAAAAAGTATTATAATGACTATAGTAGGGAAATTTATTCCAATATTGATGTATGAGAGATATAATAGTACCTTCAAATTTAAGTGGTATAATTAAATAATGATGTAGCTCATTTACGGCAACTATCCTACAACCAATTTCGATTATGGTTAATTTTGGCTAAGACCTTTTATTAACTTAACGGACAATGTTATTAGAACAGTAACAATTCGCATATGATCACTAGACCACATGACAGACTAGCTAAAATGTTGATTGCTTAATTATCACTCGATGATTCATGTGTATGTACGCGAATCCTATTATTAGCCTTTGCTTTGCCTTGCTGAGACCTTGGGCGGTTCGACTATAAATTTGCCTTTGTATTTGTTCGCATGCATATATATTCACTTTTCTGCTTCAATTTCGCTTGATGTGTTTATAGCTTTGTGATCTACGCTGTCCGCTAATAAACTGTAGTTACCGCTTCTCATTGCCGTCTGGTTTTAATCATCGTTGAGATTTTTATTATAACGGTTATCGAGGTGATCGATTAACCAAACAAAACCACTACAAACTGCACACATAACTTTATGACTATAAATATTTACTTCTAAATTACTTACAAGGCATTTTTGAATGTGGTTTGGCATCTTACAACATTCGAATTGGATTAGTATTTTATTTTATTTTACAAAATAAACATACAAGACCCCTACTTATGAAAATAAGAGTCTAAATAGACCTATGTGATATAAAGTTTATTAAGCATAAATGACTTCATCAATATATTTTCTTCATGAACGCTTAACTTTTATCGTATTCTAAATCATATCAGAAAACCCTTTGAGCTCATTTAAAAACTGATATTCTCTCCTGCCTAGTAATTTAATCTCGTAATTATGATTTCCATTAGCGGTAGCCAGGATTTTTCCATGTTTAGTAATACCGTAGTATTACACTTAGTTTTATGGGATTAATAATAGTTATTTGGATTTTCATTCGGATTTACTCAAGCCTATGGGAATTATTTCTTTCACAAACTTTTAGTTAGTTGTAAGA